GCACCAGGGCTGTCTGACGCCACTCCCCATTTAAAACCGACCCGACCACCTCGCTGCTCAGGACAGTCACAGTGACCCTCCCCATCTCTCGTGCGTGCCGAGGCAATCCTCGGCCGCAAGGCCACCCTCCTCCTTCTCCATCTCTTCCCTATCCGAGAAGCCAAGTTACTTGAGGGACGCTCCTAGCCGCTCCCGCAGTAGCCGCATCTACCAGGCGCTCCTCTTCCCAGGCCCAGGGCGGGCGGCTACCTTAGCACGAAGTCCGGCTCCAGCAGCCCCCACTCGTCACTTCGTCCGTGCTGACTTCTCGGTTCGGGGAGGAGAGGAGCTGAAGCAGACTGGCTTCTTGGGGTTGCCAGGGCCGCTCCGGCCGCCTCCCGCCCCGCCTGAGGGAGGAGCTAGGATCGGGTCAGGCCCGGTGGCGAAAGGGGCGTGGGACCTGTCGCCGGGCTCTGCTTGAGTCACGCTTCAGCAGGGCAGCGGCACATCCCCGAAGGGGATTTCCTTAGAGCGGCCGCGCATAGGCTGAATGGCCTTTCCGGACGCCAGTGAGTAATGCCGGCCGCGCAACTCGGGGAAGGAGAGTGGAGAGTAAAGCCCTGTGCAGTCTTTCCCTCTTAAGAAGTTGCTTCTAACTTGTTCTCATAGCCAACCCGCAGGTGGAGAGGAGGGAACGGCCGTTCCGCGGTTATCAGGGAGGTGTGATGGAGACTAAGCGCCCCTAACTTTGCTTAGACCCCTAACACAGGTGGAGTTTGCACGGGAAAGTGTAGTGCTGCAGTTTGAGAGTTGGTAACAAGCAAAATTCTTGTTTTATCTCTTTGTGGACATCCACGGTTTGAAAACAAGTGATACTCTAAATGGGAAAAATAATGTAATGTCTGGTCGAGTCATTCGTTGTGTTTTGGAAGTTTCAACAATTCTTGGAGAAGTGAGTCAGGTTAGGGTGAAAAGTAGCAGTTGCTAGTGCTGAGAGCCAAATACATTCACAAGATCTTTTCCTGTGCCCCACTGCAGAACAGATAGGATTAAGCATGCAAAAATCGGCACTAAAATAATTTTTTCTTCCACACACATTGCGCTTCTGTGAAAAACTATGTAATGCCAACACTTTTGGTTATAGGAAAGATGCCCATCTGAGCATGGGGATGAAGCATAAACATCAAACCCTCAAGCAAGAGTGACTATGTAGAAAATGACACACACTGTTACAGCTTTTCCAGTTGTGGAGTCCTTGGTGCTCTCTGAGCTTGATTGTTTGCTCACTGACCTTTCATTACCTGACTAAGTAACATCATCAGTGCTAGTGAGTGTGGGATTTCCTCCGTTTATATACAGTAGCTTGCCCTGCTAGTGTTGGTGGGGGGTGGGGGTTTTCTCCTTGGTAGTTCCTTGATTAGGGTATTGTTTTCTGCTTGATGTTTTGTCTGGTGTTAATCCCTGCATTTCCAGTTGATTGGCTTATCCTGTAAAATGACTCAGCTTCAGCTGGTACAGAATGCACTACCCTACTAAGTTCTTCCACTTCTTCCACTTGTATGGCTGCCCAACTCAAAACAACTCTGGCCAGCTTGCAAACAAATTAAAAACAATAATAAAAACAGCATGTAACAAATCAAGTAAAGCAAATGGGCAACTATGGATGCCCATCAATATACTATAATGCCCTCGAGAGACAGACTCAGTCAACCTGGGAACAACCAAGTCTTCAGAGCCTTTCAAAAGACCTGAAGGACCAGGATGAAATCTGAATGAAAAGTTGCCTCTTTTGGTTCTACCTGGAATTGGAGAAAGCATGGCTCATTTTCCCTTCTACTGAAATCTTGAGAGCTTTGGAATAAGAACACAAAATCTTGCGAGATTCCAAGCAAAAGTGCAAAAATCCTGCATGATTTGGCAATCTTCTAATATTTTAGTCATGTTTAAAAAATAGTTTTATTTTGCTCTGGAAAGTGAGATCTACAGCATTCTCATGAACTACCAGTGGTCCTTAAACCACATGGTAGGAGCTACTGGAGTGAGCACAATAAATGCCCAGTATTCAGATGTATTCTTTCCAAATAGTACTTTGGAGGTGGCATGATATTGCTTCCTGTTTCATGCAAACATACATACAAACATCAAAATGTTCCTAGGTAGGTTCCTACAACCTGCTAAGCCACAGTATGTTTTAGGTTTGGCGCATTGTGTTATATAAACACAATTACTGGTGAGTTATGGTTTATACCTATTTGAATTTAGCTTTTTCTCAGATGGGACCCTCCAGCTCAACCATAAGTATGGCTCCATACTGGTTTCATCTGTGGGTTAATGGGAAGACAGATTAGCCTCATCATGACCACCACCATTGCTGTTGTAATTCCTTAGCTGTTACTGAAACAGCAGGAACTGGCGCTTTGTGGGATAGGTCATTGATGAGTCCACAGTATACTTTTGATACGTTTCTATAGTTTTTGAGTGGGAGCATTGCATCGTCACTGAATTTCATTGATAGTTGATTGATAACTGCAGATTGCATCCTATTAGTATATCTGTATGTATTGAGTGGTGTCATCTTTCATTAAGGATCGGTGTCTCAGTTTACAATAAAGGAACAAATGAAAGTGAAGAAATAATTCATTTCATAACAAAGTCTGAAAGAAAAATATTTCCATCTGCTTCTTTTCCTATAGGGAATCTTCAGACATTAATTGGAATTTGATACCCCAATGAAAATAACAAAATTTCTCCAGAGGTCAGGCTGTTTTCATAATAAGCTACGCTTGCCAACGCTTTAGTCAATTAACCAAATTTTCTGGGTTTGTACAATACACTGAACCACTAGCTTGACTAGTATAGCACAACAGGCAAAAATGTGGTTGGCTAGTTTGTGACTCAGTAGCCTGACTATGTATTGAGAGTTATCCTCCTGCTCAGCTTGTCCTCTGCAGAAAGAGTACAGTACTCCTAACTTGTACAGGCTGGAAGAATGTTATGCAGCAACTGAAAAAAGAGCTTTACAGTGATCCATGGCTCCGAAAAGGGACTAGCAGAATTTCACAGACTGGAGAGAAGGTTGAAGTGTGAGAGAAGCATTCCCAGAATTAACCTTGGGAAGTCTGTAAAGGCCAAAAGCAATTCAACCAAGTAACACTACTGCCCTCTATTGGCTACTCCCATTTTCCAGATTTTTTTCCAGCTCTGACAAGATTGTTCTCATGAACTAAAATAAATAGTATTCATCTATTTTAATGGAATGACTAGATAAGAACTTGAATAAAGAAATGCAGTAAAAACATAGGATGAGGTAGAAATGTTTAAGGTAGGAAACATGAAGTTTTCATTACCTTAATATTTAATAACCTTAACATGACCATTTCTGCTAATAGGCCGAGGCACAAGGTTAAGATACTTTATGTATTCATATAATTGGGGTCCACTGAAGTTGCTATTCACTTTCAAGGCACACAGTGAAGAGAGACACGTTTCAGACAACCAAGAGCTGATGCAAGAGTATGTGAGCATCTCTCATTCTGATCAGGGTCAGTAGAGCTGGAATATAGTCTAAAACATTGTTTCTCAACCTTGGCAACTTGAAGACGTGTGGACTTCAACTCCCAGAATTCCCCAGCCAGCAGTCTAAAACAATGTCCTACTTATGTACATTTACCAGTTCTGCATTGTCTTGTACAACTTGATTGAGCAGTTTGTTCCAGTTCTAATTTTGACAATACAGCATTGTGGTTGCATTAGCAGTCTCACTAGCAATACGTATGTCCCAACCTTTCCCACATTGCTGTTTTCCTACTGTGGGGATAACACTCTCTAATTCATACATTCTGGCTGGATATGGCAGGAGCTTGATGGCAACAGATTAGAAAAAGCTGGCATACATTAATATAGCAATAATGTGATTATAATCAAGTACCCATGCACATAATTTTATCTGGAATCTCAGGATTTCATTAAGGTAGCTAAAAATAATCCAGGAATTGTCACAACTACATCCTTTCAAAATGTTCTCCTTCATGCAATAGCCATGTTTCCAAAGAGAATGTAACTAAGTTTACTTTGCATCTAGTCAGGGATGAAACAAAGGGAAAACACATACTTGTATGTTCCAACTACACTGTGCATATCAGTAAATTTCTTAGACTTAGTAGTTGGGAGGGGTAGTAGCAGGAAGTCAAGGAAGTATATTTTGTTTATTGCAGGGCAACAAACCCACAGTTGCCTCTCTCTGTACATTCAAGGAGCAGTCACCCAACTCTCATTGTATTTGTTTAGTGCAGGGTCTTCTAAACATTGTGAAATATTTTTTAAAAAATTAGGTGTTCCACTTAAATGTTATTTTCACTGTAAGGTTGTCCTTATTCCTAATTTTGTCCTGATCATAATGTATAAGAACTTTAGGTTTTTTAATGTGACAAACAAACTATGTGTTCCAGAGAATTGTCAGGGAGGTTTAAACAGTCAAGGAAGAGGACTACCACTTCTGGACCTATATTCTTCCAGTGTAATTTGCGAGCTGCACTGAACCAAAAACTAGCCAATCACATTTTAGCCTAGTATGAGGTGTGAACCTGGTCCATCGGTCAGTTTATGATTCAATGTGCTATGGCAGCCCACAGAATTGGATAAATTGAGTAACTAACAGTTCAATTAACTATGGGTTGCCATGTCAGGTGAATTTGAGTCACTGAGTGGCAAAATCTGAGCTGGAATTCTACTTTATATTCATTTGCATGTCACAAAAGCTCCCCCTGCATTTGCTTGAATGCATGTAGATGAGCCCATGCTATAGACAGAGTACACCAAGGATGTGGGGATACAGCCACCATGCATAGCTCTGACTTCCCACAATGTGAATTCTGACATGGTCTTAATATTAATACTTGAAGTCAACTAGTGTCCTATCAATATGGGTACACTTGGATGCAGCTTTCATTGTGCCATAACTTTGATTCAGTCACAAGTAAGAGGAATCTAGATGATCTAGTCTTCTAATTATATCTCTGTGGTTCCCAAGAGGTGCATTCACTTTATTTCATCTTTCACAAGTGACATGATACACATCAATCACCAGAAAGTGACAGCAGGTCAAAAGAAAAAGAAAAATCAATACCAAAGTGCTTTCCAGTAAGATAATTTCTTGACTAGTTTTTGCTTTATAATGCCAAGGAATACCCACAGTCTTTCACTCTATCCTTTAATCTGTCATCAGGCATTAAAACCTCACATCGTTAACAAGTAAATCAAAGCTTTCATGCTCAATCTTTACATAATGGGGAAGTATTGATATTTACTTAGAAGATCCAATTAATTCAGTGGACCTTATTCCCTAGCAAAAATGGAAAAGATTGTGGCCTAAATGAAATATTCTAAAACATGGAATATAAATAAGAGTGCAAATGTTTTCTTTAAGCCTATAACTGATTTTTAAAGAAATAAGATAAAGGCTAAGGAAAAGAGAAAAAACCCACTCATTTCCAGAGAGATAGCCATGTTACTTTTTGCTATAAATAGGAGTTTTCAAAAGATGAACAAGTTTGTTATTGCATATAGTTTTCATGAATTGGAGGTGATCCATGAAAGCTTCTAATAAATGTGATAGTCTTTAATCTCCCACACATTCTTTTGTTGTGTCTATTATTCAATTGCTCACAACTATATTGCAAGTTGCAGATTGTAAGTTGCTAGGTCCCCTGAACTGAAATAGTTGCCAAGTTATAAAGTATAGCTATCATTGCCTGACAGATTTAAATCTGTGTTGAATATGCTTTATTCATTAAGCCAAGAACTCAGGGCTCTGGGCTCCAGAGGTAGAGCTTTCATGAAGAAATTTTTGAATGTTCCATAGAAGAACACAGGTGAACAGACTAGAAATAAATCTCTTCCACAATGTTTACTTCTATAGATGTAGTTCTCTCTCAGGTACCTATTTGCAACCCCCTATCCTGCAGAAGATTTCTCCATATTGTTATTTAAGGCTCAGTTGTTGACCTAGCTCATCAGAGATGTTCCACCACTTTGTGGAGGAAGAGATACAACACTGGATTTCCCCAACAATATTTTCTATGGTGGGAATATGTTGTACCCATCCACTGTCATTCAGAGGAGGTTCTCCTGTAAAATTAGCAAATCTTGCTGAATTATGTACAGTATCTAATATGACTCAGAAAAATCCCTGCAAAATAAATGATATTTTTTAAATGAATGCTTACTTAGTATTCACCCTGAATCCAACATTTCACCTCAGAGTGAAAGTTGCATATGCTGCCTGGGAGAGGTTTGAGAAATAATAATCAACCAGTCAACAACACTTACTTGACATTTCTTTAGCAATTCACACATGACTAGTTGCCAAGGTAAGACAGGATATATTCTAGACAAGTAGGCACGATTGCCATTCTGAATCAGAATGAGGTGGTCCTTGGCATCTGGCAAGTGAACTTGAGTTGTCCCTTTGTAGTAATGGGAGAAAAGAAGGAAATATTTACAAATGATTCAGTACTGTAATGGATCAAGGATACTCCAGGACTAAGTATCAGTATGAAGACCATTTCCATGACAGTGGAACAAAAAGTTTTCTTTCCCTGGGATCACACCCCAGATTTCATGCAGCCCTTAGAATCAAGGATTTCCTAAGGGTTTCAAGAACGTATAGTAGTAATCCTCGAGAGGCTTTGATTTGGGCTATGTCTCACAGCTCTCAGATATAGCAAGCTTGAAAGAGATGACAGCTGGATGCAAACTGCAGTCTTACGATTTGGGTTTTCTAATCCACTTCTGAAGACTTGAGGAACAAAAATATTTCAACACCAAGGGAATCTACAGCCTTCAGATAAGTTGCATTTTTTACAGTTTTGTATCAAGAACTCTGTGCCCTGGAGACTCAAGGTTCAGGAATAGTTTCCTGGACCACCCAGGGGAATAACAAAAACAGAAATATCATCTCCAGAACCCAGTTTGTCATTGGCCAGCCTCCAGCCACGGTCCTTCAGAACCCCTCTTGACCGCATCACCAACTCCTGGGCTGCCATGGTATATCTGGAAGGGAAAAAAGCCCATGATTATTATTCACATGGAAATTGCAAGAGATCTACAGCAGTAGGATATATTATTATTGAAGTAAATATTTATAGGTATACTGCTTATACAATAACCATCTCATAATATTTTTTAATTATTTTAATAATTATTTATACAATACCATCTGCCTTCAGCCTCAGATTTTTCATCCTCTTGGTCTCTCCTTCTTTTTAGTAATGTTTTTAATTAA